TAATCTTCTACAGAATATTCAGGATCTGTTCCTGTAAATACCATCAGTGGTTTATTGGATGTTATTGATGATCCACCCATGAGGTATGGATTCATTGTCATCTGTAGTGATTCTGCGGCATTTGGCATTTGCGAAAAATTTGAAAGTTGATTTTTTATTATTTCGTGTTGCTGAAGGTAATATGGAAGCGGTATTTCATTTTGCATTTGAGTTGGTTGATAAGAATGCATTGACATTGGATTTTGTGGTTGTATTGGTTGAAAAGATTGTGTGTTAAATGAATTTTATATATGCATTTGTTGTGGATATTGTACATCTGTTGGGTTTTGTGGGTAAATTTTCATATTTCGAGATGGTTGAGGTTGTCGTGGTCTTTGTGTGCAATATTCTTTAGTATATGGTGCAAAAATATCTGGTTGATGATAATCATCTTCATCGGATGATAAATAGTTTGTATTAAATGGTGTATGTTGGTTATTTTTTTATTTTGTTGGAAAAATGGGTAATTTTCAGTATAATCCTATGTAGGTCGTGGATTATCTGGAAAATTTACTGAATTTGTTGATGTTTTCGGGAGATTCCAATAATGAGAACATACGTGATTTAAATTTTGTGTGTTTTTTTGGGAAGGTTGATTTGTACTTTGTTTGTGAGCATAATTATATTTATGCTCTGCAAAGGTGTTGCCTGTGAATGATTTTCGTGTTTTTGACGGTATTGTCATTGGTCTATATGTTTAATAATCCATATGTGAATATTTTGGAGCAACCGAAGGTTTAACGGTTGATTGTAAGGTTACTTGTGCCAGTGAAGTATTTGTATTTCTTGGTGTTGTTAAATTTGGGTGTATTGGTGAAATACTTTGTTGTGTAGTTGTTGTTGTTTGGACAATTTCTTCATTTATGAAGTGTGATGGTGTTTGAATATCTTGTTGTGTAAGATTTCTAGTTCCATTAAGGTTTTCATTGTGTATAACGGTTGAATTTAAGCTGTTATTTCGTGTATCAGGTAAAAATGTATTATAATTTAAAGGTGTTGCGTCAATGGTTAGTGGTATTACTTTTACATAATCTCTGTGATAAGATATTGTACTTATTGCTTGACTTGAGATAGATTGTGGGATATTTATAAATGTAGGATGAGACCATTCAGGGTCCTAAACGTAGTCTGATTGTTCTGTAATGGCAGTGTCATCATTTGAATTTTGAGGTCTGAAATTTTTTCTTGCTTGTGAAATTAAGTCTAAATTATGTGTGAAATAATCTATTATAAACCATGCCAAAAATTTTTGTAAGTCATGTTTAGTGTGTTTTGAAACATCATCTTTAGTGAAATTTTCTTTGATTATGTGTAGAAAAATTGAAAATAATGTAATTTCATTTCGTACTTTTGTATGTTTGGATGTTTCAGTTGGTGAGATACTTTGAAATTCTGTTTTTTCTAATATAGAGATATAGGTATATATTATTGCAAAAACTTTATTATTGAATATTGAGTTTGCTCTTTGTGAATTATGATATTGTATGCTTTTGATATATTCTAGGAATACTTTTGAAAATTCTAATTCAAGATCATCTGTTTGAATTACATATTTACGATGATTCGTATTTGGTGTGCTGAACTCTATGGTGTAGATTCCATATTGTTGTGTTAAGTTACATATATTTTTCAAATAATGTTCAATAATTTGTCTTTTGATTTTTATATCTGGGAATTCTGCTTTGCATGGACTGATTCCGGATTCAAACAAATTTACAAGTAAGTTTTTGCAAAAATCATGCTGCCCTCTCTTATCGGATGCATCTATGAGGAAGCGGTAAACCTCTTCGTCATCTGGACTATCGTCACTTTGAGTGTGGCTCATTTTTTTGTTTGAAGACTGTTAATATATAGCTATCGATGTGTCTAATTGGTTGATTCCAATTATACAGGTGTACTGGTTTGTGTTTGTATTGCTTTTTTATTCTTCTTTTTCCTCTTTTTGATGAATTTGAAGTTGTTTCTGAATCGGAAAAATATAATTGATCGTGAATGGGACAATTTTTATCATTTGATTGTTTTAATTTGTAGAGTTCATCTAAACTGCTGGTTTCTTATTCGGAAAATGCGTTTCTAATTTTTGAAAATCTTTTTCGTGTGATTTGTCTTTGTTTGCTTATAATTTTTCTTTTTATTGTTTGTCGTTTTGTTCTAATGTATCCAACTGTTTGTGTATGAGGTGTGATTACAAGATCGTATTTTTTGTTATCTATCTCACAGTTGTGTAAAACGATTGTTTGCTTATTTCCTAGATTTTTGAATGACATAAGGTTTAGGATGAGGGATGCAAAAAGTTGTTAGTTATTTCTATTTTCTTAGACTATTAGTCCTAACGATTTTTTGGTTAGCTTAACCTGGGTCTTTTTATTTAGGGTTGGAGAGAAAGTATATCGATTCCGAGGAATGAATTTTTTACTTTCTCGTGGCTAGTCTAGGCTAAGGTGTTAACTTACTTAATCTTACTTAGGGGTAGTGATTGTGTTCAAGGGTTGGAGAATAGTAAATCGATCCACAAGGTTCAGGTATAATTAGAACGCAAGTAGTTCGTTAGATACTATTTTAAACTTACTAAGTCTAAGATCTATCCTGGGTCTGTTTAGAGGAGGGTTCAAGTGAAGGATGAATAACCGGAGTTCTTCACTGTTTATCTTAATTTGAATGGTTAGTTTTATTTAAAAATTTCTATTAATCTTGGGTCTTTTGGAAGGGTTGGATAATGAATCGACGTTTGAGGTCGTTAGACACTTGCAAATTGTTCTTTTTGATCCAAGGATAGGCCTTGATGATCAGGTTTTAAATTTTGTGAATTTAAGCTTAAAATGGTTTAAATTTATTTAAGAAAAAGATTTAGTATTTTAATGATATTAGTGAGCTTATGATTGCTGTTATATTTAGGTGATGAAGCTGGGACAACAGATGATTTATGATTACTAACAATTTATTGTCATGCTACTAATTTTTTTATTTCATTTTCAATAAATATTTTTCAAATATGTTTTATATAAGACTGCAGAAATTAAGAAAACAATCTGAGATCTTTTTATCAATCGTTATTGTACATTAATGATTTTGCTTAGCGCCTGAAATGATCATGAAGATTGACTTCAAAATTTTATGTTTGCAGATGAAAATCTAAATTCATTGCTAATAAGATTCTAAATATAAAAGTTTGTGTTGGCTTTTGCCGTACAATCATAAAACTATATGGTAAGTTTCTACTTTGTCGTATGTCGTCTCTTGTTCGAGGTCTTTTTCCAATTCCGGGTAGTTCTATTATTGTTCGGAATATTGGCTCTGATCTATTGAGTCGTAGAGACATTTCGATTAAATTATTATCGTATAACATTTTGAAAATGTTTTGTCTAAATTCTAATCTATTTTTGGTTAGTTCTTTTATTCGAGACTTATGGTTGCACCAGATGAGTTAGGACCGATGTGGTTAACTCATAGAGTAATTTCGGGTAGGGTACACCTTCTGCTCGTCACGCTATCTTATTTTCGGCCGGATAGATTCGTGCAACTTCTTAGTCTAATACCGATCCTAATCTTACTCTTATACTTTCTTAGGGTGTTTAACTAGTCTCTGCTAGGCTCAATAGATCTAGGGTATACTGGTTTGTTGCGGCTGCTGAAGTTCTCTTGGAGAGGCAACTAATTTCTAAGTTAAATTCAAATCTCTCTGGTGCTGAAATTACAAGTAATTTCAGCACTTACAAATAAGTGGGTTGTTAGTTAGATGGAATATGATTGGTTAATTTTAAATACTTTACAGTGGTAAAATATCCAATTTATCCAATCATAAAATATAGTTTAGATCAGGTTCCACCGGGTTGACCAAAACTTCTAATCATACAATTTCCATTTATGAAAAACTTCTTGTCATACAATTCCATACAATGCCATACGTACAGAACATTGTATGAAATCTCTATGATGAACATTTTTCTATATATGAAAATTGTATGATAGGTGTTTTTCCATAAACCAAAAAATTTTGATTTTTTTCTTTCTAAATTTAGTTTCTGAAAATTTTTTTGGTTGCCTTTGCAACCGATCACCAGTGACAAAGACCTTGGTTACTCAAAACACCAAAGGTTGGACGGTCTTGCATTTACAATGCATAGCTAACGACCTGAACTTTGCTGTTTTTCACAATTCATATAACAAAAGTAACGAACTTTTATTTTTTGGCAAAATTTTTTTAATGATGATTATTTTAAATTTTTGAATTTTCAAGTTATCAGACACTGATCAAGGCATACATTAACACCCCATAAAACAGAAATAGGAATTTTCAGCAACTTTGAAAAAAAAATTTAAGTGAAAAGAAAATAAAATCCAATTTTATCGTATCCATGACTATGTTATGCACACAAAATAATAAATTTTGCATGCAAAAAAAATTTTTCGAAAAATGTTTGTTTGCGTACGAAATTCGATTTGCGGTTGAAAAAAAAAACAAAAAAATTTTTGTGCCAAATTTTCAGAATTACTTGAAAAATTTTTTGTGTCGCCATCAAAAAAATGCCAGTCATACAATTTCCATATATGGGAATTGTATGATAAGCATTTTTTTCAAAAAACGAGAACCTCAGTTTTTTATCACCAGACTGTTTTATAAGAATCAAACAGCCACAGAAATAAGTTTATACCAGTTTTCAACCATTTTTAGAAATTGTATGAAAATTGTATGACAAGCATTTTTCCACACACTTGATGTATGGAATTGTATGATAACAGTTTTCGGTGTATGGAGGTCAACCCGGGTACATAATCACGGAGTCCGCAAACAAATTTGAAAGTACACAATTTAGCCGTAATAAAGGAATAACAGGAGACCTTGAACTGGCAAACACGATAGAGCATGATGCATATATTGCGAGAATTAATTTCGACACAGCGCTATAATTAGAGTCTTGGTTAAAACAGTCGGTTTCATTACAGTTGACTTTAAAGAAAGATCAGTTTAACATTTTGAAGACTTTAAGTTTCAAAGCTTTCGATGAGTTATTTGGTTAGATCAGGTGATAAATAAAAGTTAGTGTAATTCACCGACAACCTGGTCATCTATTATTTATTCAGATTATGCCACGGATTATCAAAAAACTTGCAAGAGGGTTATCGAAAGTCAGACACCGAAAAATGTCAAAACAAAGCGATGAGATTTTATTGACGAACAAAAACTTGACGTCCTTTCCGAGCAACTCTAACTACTCTCGTCTCTCCAGATTTTGTGTTTTGCTGGACTTGTCCCAGAACCAGATCAAACATCTTGACTTCCTCTGGTAATTGTACATGAAGACATGCTTTTTTGATGCTAGCAGTGGATACAAGTATGATATTTGGGTCCCTTAGATGTAGATGGGTCATTGCAGAAAAAAAAATTGGGCTTTAAAATTTTCCAAAACATGGTTCGCGTTTTTGTTACGACTTTCGATACGAAAGTAACGGAATATTTGTGCTCGGGGTGGGTTTTTTTCTTCAGACAAATTTCGACTTTTTAACTAGCCATTTTTGACAGAATTTTTTTTAATCAATCAAAAGGTATTGTTGTCCTGAGCTCAAATTTGAAAAAATATTTCACCTGTGATCATTTTTCGTAAAGTTATGGGGGTTTAAAGATTGCCATTTTGGCCAATTTGGGACAATTAACGCGCGATATATTTCGCGCTTGTGGTGGTAGTGAGTAGACCACCTAAGATAGAGGACGTTATAACTTATTGTTCCGACTTTCGATACGAAAGTAACGGAATATTTAAGCTCGGGGTGGGGTTTTTTTTTCTTCAGACAAATTTTGACTTTTTAACTAGCCATTTTTGACGGAATTTTTTTATATCATTCGAAAACTATTGTTGCCCCACGACGACCCCCCACCAAGACCTGAACAGATTTCAAATTCAGAAATGGCAGAAGAAGCGGACAGTAGAACCGCAAGAAATGAAGCGGCAACCAGGAGAACAAACGAAGCGAAGGAAGAACGAAGAAAGAAGGGACCCAAAATAAGTAAAAAAGTGTATTATCACGAAGCAGATGCAAGGATTAAGTCAAGGTTATTCTTCGCCTTGGGAAACAAAGGGAAGAAAAGATTCCTTCAGCAACATGCATATACCAACCTAAACACAGTAAAATTCAAATTTTTCCACGATGCTTGCGAACAACTATTGAAACGGGAAAAGAACTATATCATAGAAAGGATGCAAATCTACAACGCATCGCACGGGGACAAGGAAAGCCTCGAATCATTTTACCTCCGCCTAGCAGGACAAGCTTCAAAATGTGGATGGACAGAGGAGATAGAGAAGGAAGTCATTCGCGACATCTTTATTGCAAAAATGAGATTCTCTGACATACATAGAGAACTTTGCATTAGACCAGGAGCCACAGTAGATGATACCCTCAAATCGGCATTACTTCAGGAGAAGGGATACGTGACAGCGAGCATCCTCCAAAAGCAGAACCCATCTACAACGAGCAATTCAGCGAACTTCACAAACTCATCTAACCAGTTTCGGGTCAAACAAGAACCACTGATGTCCATCCAGTCCAAAAACAATGTCCAAAACAGAATGAATAAAGCGCTAGGGAAAGGAAATTTCAAACCCAAAAACCAGCAAGACCAGTCGAACACTCAATCTAAACCATGCTATTTCTGTGGAAGAAGATTCACACCCGAACACAAATCTAAATGCCAAGCCAGAGGAGCAACATGTAGAAATTGTGGGAAAAAGGGATATTTTGCGAAATGCTGCAACTGTATTCAAGTGGCCAATGTCGAACAACCAGATCCAGACGAAGAAGAGGACTGTAACTTCATAGACTCAGACAGTGAAGAGAACCACTCAGTCCCAAAAATCTCGGAAGCATCACTACAAACGGAAACAGTCAAGAATCTAGAAGTAATCAACTCTGCAACGGGGAAAACTAAGTGTCTAAGAACAACGCTAAAAACAAAAGGCTCTTTACTTAGCGCCACCGTTGACACTGGAAGTTCAGCATCATTTGTAAACAAACGTACAGCTCAAACTCTATTGCAGAAAGAACACAACGCAAAAATCATATCACTAGATAAGAATCCGTTATCCACAACGTACGTAGATTACAACCACAAACAGATAAAACTCTTCGGAATGCTAGAAATTGACATTTACTCAAATGAATGGAGACTGCAAGGAGCGAAATTCTTAATTTCCGAGAATAGAACCAGATGTTTATTGGGCTTAGACATCCAACCAGACTTGGGAATAGTAACAACTCAACTAAAACCACCCAAAAATTCAATAAATGCAATTTCAGAAGAGCAAGAAAATGAATAAGTCGAATCGACCTTTTGGAGGAACAAATTTACTAAGAAATACAAGGATGTATTCCATAGATTGGGACGCTCAAAGAACCACAAGGTATTCACGTCATTTGAATCACCATTGATCCCAATTCAGGAAAAAGGCAGAAGAGTGCCAATCCATATTCAAACCAAAGTGGGAGCGGAAATTAAGAAACTCATAAAAGAAGGCCACATAGTAAAACTTGATAAATGCACAAGTGATCATTTCGTAGCTCCAGTAGTCATAACAGCAAAAAAGGACGGCACGGTGAAACTAGCAATGGACGCAAAACCAATGAACTCACAGATCTTCAAAAATAAATTTCAGATGCCAAATTTATTAGAACTACTCGACTCAGCAGCCCAAATAATTACAGCCAAGACAGAGGGCACAGTCTGTTTTAGGTCATTAGATCTAAAGTACGCATTCAGTCAACTCCCATTAGACGAATCCGTGAGCAAACACTGTAACTTCAGCATCGTATGCGGGGAATTTACTTGAACGTATAGATTCAAAACCAGATTTTATGGACTAACAGACATGCCAAAGGAATACCAGAAGGCAATGGACAACACAATCCAAGGAATTCAAGGAGTCTTCTGTTTCTTAGATGACATACTAATAGTATCAAAAGGTTCAGTCACGGAACACAATGAAATAATTGACAAAATCCTGTCAAGGTTAGATAAAGAAGGATTTGCGCTAAAACTCAGCAAATGCGAATTTTCAAAAACAAAATTAATCTGGCTGGGATTCGAGATAGATGAGACAGGAGTGAGACCAAAACACTCGAAGGTAGAAGCAGTAATGGCATTACAACCGCCAAAATCTCTGAAACAACTGAGATCATTCATGGGTATTTTAAATCACATGTCCAGATTTATACCCAATCTCCAAAAAGACACCGAACCATTACGCCCATCATTGAAGGCGGATAACAAAAAAAAAATTCATTTGGAGTGAAGAAGCAAACAACGCATTTAAGAAAACCCTGCAACTAATCGCCAACATATCAAAAACGCACCATTACGATGCCACCAAACAATGTAGGAGTAAATGTGACGCCAGTCACAAAGGATTGGGGGCTGCATTAGAGCAAGAATTGGAACCGGACAAATGGGTACCAATCGCATTCACATCGAGATTTTTGAATGCAGCTGAACAAAACTACAGCACTAACGAGCTCGAACTACTAGCGGTGGTATGGTCATGTGAATTCTTCAGAAACTATTTATTGGGAAACCAATAGCAAATATTAACCGACCACAAGGCCATAGTCACAGCATTAACAGAAAATTGGGGCAACAAAACATATCAGTCCAGACTGACAAGATGGGCAGACAGAATGCTACCATTCGAATATACAATTTCTCACATCGCAGGAGCTAAAATAGGAATGCCTATTACTTATCAAGAAGCCCTAAATTTGAGGCACCACCTATATCAAAATACATACAGTTTGTAGTCAAAGCCATCGAAAACTTTGATGAGGCATGTAGGGTGATCAACACTCCAGCGCCGACAAAAGAAATTGATAAAATCCAATTAGTCAAGGCCCACCTAGAGGAAAACAGGATAATTTCAAAGATATTTCCACTAATTGGGAGGGAGAACGGAGGAAAACACCCAATTTCCAAAGGACACAAGGGGGCGTCGATATCTCGTACAAAGAATTTATCCAATCAGATCCTCGATGCAGAACCGCAAAAAGTAACAAAACATCCAATACGGAAGGAACAAGTATCAACCAATCAGGATCAGATATGCATATGTTCACACATCCGCAAGAGAGCGCATTGTCATGCGGAACTGACACTATCCAAGGTATGCAAATTCAAATCCCTCAAGTACAGATCGGAAATTCATGCGGCAAAAACAACAACCAATCAAAACAAGATATGCAAATGCACAACTCACCACGAGAGAGCGGAAAGTCATGCGGTGAAAATTGTAACCAATCAGATTCGTCAAATTTTGATTTATTCACAACTACGCCATATTTAACCAGTTCACCACGAGAGGGCGTCGTAACAAAATCCAACCAATCAGAAGCAATGGAGTTATATTCAGCCAAAAATAAACAAATTTCCTTGTCCCCGACCTTAAACTTAAACATCAATAGTTCAAATAAATTCATAATCAATCCAACAAAACACAATTTTCAGAGGAAAATGAGTAATTTCATCCTGCCATCCATAAAACAGATGGAAAACCCGATTGAGGAAAGAAATAGAGCAGAAACAAGACAGACAGTGGAGATGATAACCGAGAGCAGGAAAAGGAAAAGGATCAATATCGTAAACAAGAACAAGATGCACTACGCTCGAATGCTGGCAAACTTCAGAACGAACAGAATGAAAAGGACAGTGAGGGTCAACATGATAGCAGATAAATTTGGAAGGAAGAAAGAACAAGAAGCTCCAGTGAACACAAACAAGAAATCATTCACCACAGGCCTCCATAACATACTCGATGCGGATCTATTGGGGGAACTCACGACGGAAGACAGCCAGTTAGGCCAACTAAGGAAACACATCCTAGCGAAGGATAGAGAAGGATTCTTGAGATTGGGCAGCTACATGGCAAACTTTTGGGACGACGCCTCATTAATCAACGACTGCATCATTATTGACAATAGAGTGGCAATACCAACTTGTCTGAGAAAAGCAGTGATGGCCCGATTGCACAGAACACAGCCAGGTTAAGAGGCAATGGTTGACGCGACACAATATCTGTGGTGGCCGAAAATGCATAGGGAGATCATTGATTTATGCCAAACCTTCAGATCATGTTCAGCGTATGGTAAGAACCTTAAAACGTCTAAAACATTCAATTCTGCAGAACCCTTACCAGAATTATCAGAGGTGAACGAGGAATTACAAATAGACCTTGCTGGCCCAATGTTCGATTCTAAGGGAAGAAGAAACTATTCATAATAGTCGCTATTGATTGATTTTCGAAGTACCCTTCTGCCATGATCACCAGGAAGTCGGGGAGCAAAAAAATACTCAAATTCTTAACAAACTACATACACCAACATACCATACCAAAGAATTTAAGGACAGATCAATATTCGGGATTCAAAAATGCGAAAGTAGCAGAATTTTGTAAATCGAAGGGAATAAATCAAATCTTTTGCCCAGTAGGAGACCACCAGGGTATATATTAGTAGAAAGATGTATTCAAACCATAAAAAAAACTAGGCACAATGCAATTGGACCCAAATTTTGAGGATATACAAACAGCAGTCAAGTCAATTTTGGAAGATATTCGAATATCACGTCACAGCATCCTTAAAAAGTCATCTTTCGAACTTCATTTTGGACAGAAACCGAAAAAGGAATGGTCTAATTTCAGGGATAAACTAAAATGTTCGTTAAATCTAGATCAACAGAGACTGGAGAGATCACTATTGAAGCCGGAGGAGATGCGAGAATCGGCGGACTCAAGGACTAGAGTAAAGGTGGTGAAGAAAGGGATGGCAAGCAGAGACGTGTCACCAAAAATGAAAAGGACTGGAGAAGAGCCAGAGAGTATCAGGGCAATGGAAAATCTGGCAAAGGCAGCATCGGACTGGAAATTGCACGAGAGACATCTTTCACACAAGGAGGGATCTGAGGCATTGAGAAAACTGACTGAAAGAAACCCATTATTAGCAGCAAGCCTCAGAAGCGACTTAAATCAAGTAATCTAGAATTCGATCTTATTCACTATCCGGAGGAAGTAGTGGTATACCGGAAAATATTAGACAGGAAATCGGGACGTCCTTTATTCAAGCGGTTTAATGGGAAAATTGTTAAAGTCACTAAGAATACTTACATTACCAAAAATGGGAAAGTAATTAGAAAAAACCACATATCACTTAAACCGAAAATCAAGTCAGCATATTGTTCAGGTTTAGGAAAGAAGACACCAGCCGCAAGCACGCCGAGGAAACCATTACATCAGTGCAGCTCAAGTGGACCAAACAGACCGGTTCATATCCTGCCGAGACCAGACGTCTCACCGGTTTCAACGTCAACAGAAAATTTAGACACGGAAAATATGACACTTGACAGGCCATTCGAGAAACTGGATAGACCACATGCGAAGACGATGAAACTATATTCCACGCTGACGAAGACAGCGAGAAAGAACCCGCCAACTTTAGCTTCCAGATATAAAGCATCGCCAAATGTACTTAAAGAAGTACCGAGTGGAGGAGTAATAGACCTAACCATGTCATCAAGCAGCTCCCCAGAACACGAGGTGCAAGTAGTACCACCAGCAGAAAAGAGATTAGAGGCACAGTCGACAGAAGAATGTCCAATCTCCATAATACCAGCCGGAACAAAAGAAATGCAAATTGAGAATCAAACGAAAGAAAGCATAAACTGTCCAATTCCCTCAGTACCGACAACAGAGAAGAAGAAGACGCAAGACAGTATGGAGGGGACTCAGAGTAAGACGGCAACAGAGAAGTCAAATACTTCACAGAACGAGGTAGAAAAATTAGACGGGAAGATGGGAATAACATCAGAAACGACGGAAAAGAAATCAGAGAAAGATAAATCAGCAGATAGAAGGAAACCAGAGAAGAAAAGGGAGAAGAGAAACGGAGAAGGCGATAACGATTCACAGGTGTCGAACAACTCAAGGTCGTCGGGCAGAAGCAAGCGGCAGACAGAATTTTTCGGAAGCCCACTAAAACATTCGGTAAAAAACGTAGAAGAGAAACAAGGGTCACAAACGATTCCAATTTTGCCAGGGGAAATTCCGTTATCATCAGAAGATACAATGTCACCATCACCGAGAAGGAAACTAAGGAGACCTACATTCTCGACTAGTAAAATGGAACTACAAGGAAAGAAAACTTAATCCCAAAAACTTTTAAACTCATTGACTCAATTTTGTTTATTGTGATCTTGTAAGAGAATTTCAAACGTTGTTGAAATTTTCTAGAGGGGGAAATGTGGTGGTAGTGAGTAGACCACCTAGGATAGAGGACGTTATAACTTATTATTATTAATGTTAGAGATCATTTGAGTAACACTAATTAAAGACCTGTCAATCACGTTGATTGTTCTAACAGCTTGATGGTGCTTAAGAATGAAACTTACTCTGTGTTAACTATTGAGAGATTATAGTTATCTTCTATTCTTTGATCCATACTTACTTATTAAACTTTACTATTAATTCAACTGTTTTATTAGTCTAGTTTTCAGATAAGATTTAGGGATTATCACAGCGCTAATAACGCGTAAGCGGAGAGTTAATCCGTCTTAGAAATCGTTCCAAATTGGTTAAAAGAAACTTATTTGCCATAATTGGTTTGTTAAAAGGAGCAAAATTTATCCTTTTGTACTTTGTATGGCGTGTGGGGGGATGATTTTCATTAAAAAATTTAAAATTTAAGAAAAATTTTTTTTTTCATTTTAGTTTTTTCTTACATATAAATTTTTAATGTTATTACTGCTCCATAAACCTTAAAAGGCAGTCGGAACGTTCAGGGCTTTGCCTTGATACGAGCAGTCTTGTTATTATTAATGTTAGAGATCATTTGAATAACACTAATTAAAGACCTGTCAATCACGTTGATTGTTCTAACAACTTGATGGTGCTAAAGACTGAAACTTACTCTGTGTTAACTATTGAGAGATTATAGTTATCTTCCATTCTTTGATCCATACTTACTTATTAAACTTTACTATGAGTTCAACTGTATTATTAGTCTAGTTTTCAGATAAAATTTAGGGAATATCACAGCGCTATTAACGCGTAAGCGGAGAGTTAATCCGTCTTAAAATCGTTCCAAATTGGTTAAAAGAAGCTTATTTGCCATAATTAATTGGTAACAAGGAGGTAAATCTATCTTTTTGTACTTTAAATGGCGTGTGGGGTGATGATTTTCATAAAAAATTTCAAATTAAAATATTTTTTTTAATAAATTTTATTACATTTAATTTTTTAATGTTATTACCGCTCCATAAAACCTTAAAAGGCAGTCGGAACATTCAGGGCTTCGCCCTGATACGAGCACTCTTGTTTACTTTTGTTTTTGAAGCTTTCGCAAAAATTATGAAACCCCTCTGTCACATTTGATTTATCCTGGGACCCAACTATCTTACTTGTACCCAGCAGAGTTTTAAGATTGGCCAATCAAACATAGAATTTAGAAAGATAGATTGGTTCCTATGGATAATGAGGAGCGGTCGTCTTTCTGTAGCTTTGAGGTTATAGGTTTTGCGATTCCATTTAACGAGTTGGAAAATTGATAATAAATGTTTCATTTGTTAGCTCAGCCTAGGTATCCAAGTCTTTTGACATTATACTCATCTAACAGAAAATATATATATATATATATATATATATATAGCATCCATTTTTTCTAAAGACGGTTTATCTACAAGGTCTAGGCTACGTACTCAGCTCTTCACGGAGAACCGCTGTTGTGCCCCTGCTTAAGATCAACGTGCATTTTTTGCTTATTTTTCTGGGCTGGGTGATGTTGCCTCACCCTCAAGCAGCGTGCACGGATCATGGCTGGCCTCGAACATCCATTTTACCACCACTCCCCTTAATTTAGTGGTTTCTCTGTGCTTCGAACTCTGATCCTGGATGACAATCTAGTGGGAAGTGTGTTCAAGTGCACTCAGCAGACGGACTCATTGCAGAACCTGTCAATCAACCGAAACCAGATCACAAACCTCCCTGTTTTCCTCAACAACCTCAAAAGCTTCTTCCCAAATCTCCTTTGGTAGTATTATTTAAATTATTATAGCTCTTTCTGCGTGCCTATCAAAGAACTTTTTTCTCTGATAAAATTATAATCTATTTTGGAAACAAAAGTATAATAATTGAGGCAGGATGCCAATGGGTAGAAACCTTGATGGGAAAGTTACCAATCATTCATTTTCACATTGCCGGCTTGAAGTTTCCAACCTTTGCAAACACCATTTCGAAACTCCTAACTGACTAAATAAATTTGCAACATAAAAATGAATTGTTTCGGTTGTTGACGTGTCGCAATTCTTAAATATGAATTATGCTTTTCAAGTTAATTTTTTGCAGACTAAATTTCTCACGCAAGTTTTTATTCGGGTTAAAATTTTTCTAAGACTAAGTTTTCTGGTCAGGTTATCAATGATGAACAACGAGGCAGCCCCCAGCTACTTCAACGGGGGGTCCAAGTTCGAACACAATGACTACCGGATGTTCGTGTCCTTCAAACTGCCAGAGCTCCTCTTTCTCGACTGTGAAAAGATCAGTGATGAAGAGAGACAGCAGGGTGTGAACAGATACTCACCTAGACCACGACACACCACCATGCACGAGAACCTTGCATATGATTCATAAAAATTATATGGTAACAATGAAATACAATATTTAGCATGACGTTGTGATTGAAGTATTTTTTTATTATTTCATGATGCAAAATTGTGGCCTTGAGTTTATCCCGCGTTGAGGTGCTTGATTTTTTGTTGTCATAAATTTGATATGTTTTGATCTTCTTGGCCAAAATCGGTATCGTTTCGACTTTTTAGTTTAGTCAAATTTGCTTCTCGACTGCGCTTTATCAACTTAAAGCTGCACTTTCTCGACATTCAAAGTCAAAAATAGGTCGACCACCGCAACCTACGAAAGACTACGTGTACTAAATTATTCCAATTGTATCACCAATACAGCACACAACGGCATCTAATGATGGTGGCAGAGCGCTCACCATTATTGTGCCCCTGCTTGTGGCCTTGCATCATAAAAAATTGAGTTATGTATCTTGTACTGTACTCATAGAGTAATTTCAGATAGGGTACACTGTCTGCTCGTCACGCTATCTCATTTTCGGCCGGATAGATTTGTGCAACTTCTTAGTCTAATAAGTTTAATTCAAATTGTTCTGGTGTTGAAACTACAAATAGTTTCAACACTTTACAAAAAAATAGGTTGCTAGTTTGATGGAGTATGATTGGTTAGTATTTAATATTTTATAGAGTTAAGTATCATAATAATAACCAATGATAAATACTAGTTTAGATCTGGTTCCACCCATCCGGGGTTTAGAGAGTTTTAGTTTTCAATGTTCTTTTTTGTAGTGTAGGATGGATGATGGTGATTTTTCTTTAGAGGTTGCGAGCATATTCTTTTTTCTGGTTTGCAAGAAGAGTTGTTTGGGAGATCGTATCATTATTTCTGATCAGTTGTGATGAGTGTTGAACTGGTAGATAGGAACATTGCGATTCTCAATCTTGTCTGGAAACGGCATGTAGTTTGGCTTGGGATGTAGTGCCTGGTGACTTGGATCTGTACGTATACTTGAACATCGAGATGGCCATTGTTCTTTTGCAATGGCTTTTTTTGGTGCAATGCCAAGTCGTACTTCAAATCCATTGAGTGTCGTGATTGTAGGCAGCATGTCAGGTGGGGTTTGCCATTCTGTAGTTGGAGTTTGATTGGGTTGTCAAGTTCCTTGCTGCTCGTCTTTGGGCTGTATATTATCTATATATTGCATTGCATTATTTACATATATAAATCTTTGTTAATGTTGTTTTTTAGTGATGAACTTGTATTAGTTTTAATCGCAAAAGCGTTATTATTTAGTTCGGTTATTTTTAAGAGCTACTCACACTTGAGTAACTCCCGTCAAAAATAGTGTCGTGGGTGTCACAAAGCGTGGATGTAGCACGGTGGGTGAGGCGGGCTGTAGAGCATGCTGAGGACGTCCTCTTCTGGTGGGTTAGGCCAGAAGTGAGGGTATAATTTCGTGCTCTCTTTTTGAAGGGTACTGTTTTAGTTCAACATTTCAAGCTAGTTTTTATCACTAGTGTTTTCTTTTGTTTTCTTAGTTATGTCTTTTTCTCAAAAATCAAATTGTTTGTTTTAGGTTCGACTTTTTGGTGTTTTTTTTTGTGTTCAGACTTAAACGTAGTCTTCAAAAGAATTATTTATCTAGTTCTAAGCTGGTGTTAATCCAGTTTGGGTACCGTGGGTTTTCTTTTCTCAGTCATGCTGTTAGGTTGTGGTTTATGGTGCTGAGTAAGCTTGCGTTGGTTAGTTTGGATTATTATATAATTCCTTTCAAACCGGGTTAAAGGAAAGTTTGAAACGTGTTAAAGCTTGTTAGAGTTGTTATCAGTGAAAGTTGAAACTTAAAATCATTCTTTTAAACAATTCTTTGTGGGCGAGCAATGGGATTTTGGATAGAATTTATGGGCGAGAGTATACAAACAAGCGTATGTAGAAAGTTAGTATTGCTATCTGTTATTTATGAACAATTTTTATTAATTTACTACTTCAAAATTATGAAGTTTACTGCTTGATTTGTGGGTTGAAATTATTAATATATTTTCAGTTGTATAAATATTTACTTCTTTGGGAAAAATAATTTATATATTAATTTACTGCTTTGTTTGGGATAATTTTGTTGCTTCATTCATTGAATTTATGAATAAAAATTTATGAGTTGAGAAAAAAAGTTTTCTTGTTTTTATTTTTTTTTTGTTTTGTAGATGATGGATGATTGTGGCTACAAAGAAAGAAGGAAAACCTTGAATAGGAATGGTTAGTGTTGTTTGAATTTATTATTTAAATATTGAATTCATATTACCTAATCGTCGGTGAAGAAACCATGGGGAAAAACGTCGTGGATGATATCAAATGAGGTTATTAGTTTACCTAGCAAACGAATGATGTGTTTAGTTTGCAGAAGTGGCCAAAGCAATTTGAGTGCTTTAAGGATGTTGTGCTCTTCAGTTTGAGGTGATTGTTCATACGGAGTGTTTTGAATAAGATTATGTAATTTGTGATTATAGCGAGTGTTATATAAAAATTTTAGGATTGGGACTTAAACGGGCTGGAGGAATTCGTGAAGGACAATTAGTGGGCGGGACTCGTCTACACTTAGGAGTTTGGTTAGGGGACAGAAGATAAACATCTGGGTGATGGGGTCATAATTTCGGAGGGTTCCTTGTAAGTTAGTGTCTTTAATACAATAGGTGAAGTTAAGAAAAAATGGTGCCGTGTATTTAGAGTTAAAATATTGAGATCGATGGTGAGGTTGTCGTGCTGGTGTATTGAGGGTGTAATGGTATCGAATGAACTTGTAGTCATTGTTTGTGTGTGTTTGTTTAGTTCGTAACATGACTTCGTGTGAACAGTGCAAATCACGTTCTTTGGGTGTGAGGAAATGAAAGGTTAGTGAAAAGTGGTTAAATTTGTTAAAGTATAAGCATGAATATTTCATAGTGGCTTCTGAGATAACGTTGTCATACTTTTTATTCAAGATGTTGAGAGTGAAGGTGTATGGGATCTTGATGAAAAAATTTTCAGTTAGTTAGGGGCTAGCAAATGGGTAGTTATTTAGAAAGAGGTCTTCATTAGGTCTAATGATATTATGATTGTAATCATCGATCGAATAATCACTAGCGTTAGGTGCTGTGAATTTGGTTAGTGAATGTCTGTATCTTATTTGCGTAAGTTGTTTTGGGGTTAGTGCTGTTGTTAGGAGATAGAGTTGGGTGCTGCATACTTCGTTATCATAAGGGGTGTTATATAGTGGTAGTGATAGTGGATTAGTAAAGTGGTAATAAGATGCCCATGTAAGTGTAGGGTATAAAACATGTTTGTTTACATTATTGGGTTTCTCATCATTAGGGTCTGAATGGAAGTAAGTATATTGAGGGAAAAAGGGTAGTCATATTTGGAAGAATTCTTTGGTATTAATGTGAAGTGGATGATTGACAAATGTGGTGGATGTTCCTGGGTTAGATGGGAATGGGGTATTTGGGAATTTTCTTTTAAAGGTTCGGTAAGCGCGGTTGGTACTAGATGATGGGGTTGATGAGGAAGTCGGGTTTTTGGGAAGGTGTATAATTTGAAGAGAGGGTTGGGGTTGATGGGTTGGATGATGTTATAGATTGTGAGAGTTGGTGAATAGTTAGAGTTTGAGGGTGTTGTAATTGCTGTTGTAGTGTTATGTAGTTATCAAGTTCATGTGATATTTGTGTGTTATCTTGGTCGTTGTTATCGGATGGCTCACTGGTTAAAGGGGAATATATGGTTGTAGCATATAAAATGGGAGAAGGAAGGGAATGGGGTTCAATTTTGACTTGGGAATGGATGGGTTGAAAGGGAGGTTGGGAAAATGTAGATGGACTGAAAATTCAGAGTTGGCAAATTCGTCGGGTGTTTCGATATCGGAGTTGTTGAATTGGGAGAAAGAGTTATATACTGTGGTATTGGATTTAGTATCTGATTCCATGCTGGATGAAGTGTTATACTGAGGTGACTGAGGTGGGGGGAAAGCAAAAAATGGGATGATGGGAAGGTTGTTCTGGAGGTTGCCTGAGTGGGAAATTAATCGATAGAGGGATCCAACTTGGCGGCTCATTGTGGGCTAAAAATATGGTTGTCCTTAGATCGAAAATTAGTGGTATGTGGTTGATCTATAATTTGTTCGTATGTGTCGTCCATGTTGGGTTGTTGGGTTATTATGTGTTGAATTGGGCTTTGTGGATAATTTGTTCTCGAAGTTATGAGGTCTGTTAGGGCGATATTTCTGAAATTTCGTGGTACTAATGATAGGGGGTGGTTATGGTTGAGGTTTTGCAATTGTGGTGCTGTAGGTGTTGTATTTGTATCGTTTCGTGATTCGTCATACGTGTTTGGTGTTGTTGATAGCTTGGTATTGTATTCTTTTATTTGAGCGTCTAAAAGAATTTTATTGATTGATGTTGAGAATATTCCAAAAAATCCTGCATAAAGTATGCGTGCTACGCTTGCTTGTCTGTTTACTTGTGTGTGTATAGCGTATGTAATGTAGATGCCTTTTAAGAGAGAGAAAAGAAATCCAAGAAAATTAAACATTGCGTATAATATAGTCAATCTTTCTAAGATGTAATAGGGCCATCCTAGAAAGGCAAGAAATTCGTTTTTTAGATTTACAAAATTAAAATTATTTGTTGGTGATATATATTGTGGTCTGTATTTTCGCCATTTAAGTAAATGTAATCTTTTATATCTTTAAAATATCCGCTGAAGTCTTGTCTGAAAAGCCCGCTGTTTCTGCAAGTTTGCGTAGGTTTTGATCTATGGATTGTCGTTGTATTGTGTCCATTTTTGTAAGTAATTCTTGAAATTGTTGTGTTCGAATGTGATGTTGGATGTCGGATTTAGAATATATATCAATTGATTGTAAATCAATATTAGGGTTGCGGGCAATAGCTCTAATGCTTTATGGTGAAAATTTTTTGAGTGGTTGCATGAGTGTAGGATAAGGTGTGAGAAGATAAGGTGGGAGGGATAAGGTGTGAGAAGATAAGGTTGCATGAGTGTAGGATAAGGTGGGATAAGGTGTTATTTTGCGAAGAGCGTATTCTTTTGAGTAATATGGTTAGAGATTGTTTCTGTGTTGAACTGTTTCTTTTTTATTTAAATCAATAAGTTTATATGTTGCATCAGTGGGT